TCAAAATGATCCTGTAGCAATAAAGACTGAAGAGATGAAGCTTAAAATTAATAAGGAACAAATAGAACTTTCAAATCTGTGATGATTGGAAAGTGGTTCCAGTCTTTTATTTAAATATGAAGACGTATTTCTGACTGAATGCAATATTGAGACCTAAGTTTTATTTTTGGCCTCTTCCTCTCATATTTCACTTGAAGCAAACTAACGGTAGGAGTGGCGTGGCTAAGCATATTACCCCCAATCCGTCATACTGACATCATTAGAGAAGGACTGCCATTCCAGAGCAGAAGTAAATGGTCAGTTTTGATTAAAGATGACCAAAACAAATCTTTTTTTTTACCTGTGTATTAACTTTTAAGCTAATTACATTAAGGCTAATATGTGCTGGTAAAATAAACATTGCAATTAAAGGTGCAACAAGCGACTTTCTGCATAAAAAAAATTGTTATTATGGGGTTGAAAGTCTCTTTACATCCTGATAGCAATCATTTAATTATGTAGTCCATGTATTTTAATATGTGAAAGGCGTCGGACCAAGAAAAGTTTATCCAATCAAAATGTTCGGTCTGAACATTACAATAGGCTGTCCTGCATATCATACAAAAAAGTAAGAGCATACACGCTGTGGCGCAGAAAGATTACATCATTGCGTGTTCACGGATGTGGACAGAGGATGAAAGGCAAACTTCAACAACATGCCTTCTTTTTTTAAAGTTTGCTATGGTACTTAACTGTACTATGAAGTCGTTCTCTCTGATGAATGTTATGTTATGTATTGTGAGGTATAATGATGTTGGCTGTTGCACGTTCATGCATTCAGGAACCATGTCTTTGGGATTGCAGGGTGGTATATAGGCTTTCAGTGTTATGGACCTAACATTAGCATTTTCTAAGATCTTAATTATTAGCATTATATTCAAAATTACTGCGTAACTTGATCAAATAAATGGTAAATATACACTACCTGACAAAAGTGTTGTTGTCAAACCCAGTTGTAAGAGCAACAAATAACAACCCGACTTCTTAAGTTTGGAAAAGTGGCAGAAGGTAGAAATCAGTCAAGTTTGGTGAAGGAAAAAATCATGGTTTGGGCGTGCGAGAGATCTGCAGAGTGGACGGCAACATCAACATAAGGTATCAAGACATTTGTGCTGCCCATTACATTACAAACCACAGGAGAGAGCAAATTCTTCAGCAGGATAGTGCTTCTTCTCATACTTCAGCCTCCACATCATTGTTCCTGAAAGCAAAGAAGGTCAAGGCGCTCCAGAATTGGCCAGCCCAGTCACCAGATATGAACATTATTGAGCATGTCTGGGATAAGATGGATGAGGCATTGAAGATGAATCCAAAGAATCTTGATTAACTCTTCTGTCCTGCAAGAACGTTTTCTTTGCCATTCCAGATGACTTTAATTATGTTATTTGTGTCATTGCAGAGATCATGGGAGTCATACACAATATTAATTCTTTTCCACTTCATCATGACTTTATAATCTATACTGTACATTACTTCTGTTAAGTGACAAGACTTTTGTCCAAGCAAAGTCAGAGTTTACTGTCCTAATTAAATCATTAAAAAATCAAGGCATGATCATATTTTATTTAGGTAAAATAAGCATAAACTAGAGGCATTTGCCTTTCATATAAAGTTGAAGTCAGAATTATTAGCCCCCGTTTATTTTTTTCCTCAATTTCTGTTTAATGGAGATTTCTAAACATGATAGTCAACACATTTCTAAACATGATAGTCAACAGATTTCTAAACATGATAGTTTTAATAACTTATTTCTAATAACTGATTCATTTTATCTTTGCCATGATGACAGTAAATAATATTTTACTAGATCATTTTCAAGACACTTCCATACAGCTTAAAGTGACCTTGAAAGGCTTAACTAGATTAATTAGGTTTACTAGGCAGGTTAGGGTAATTAGGGAAGTTATAATAATAATAATTTTTATTTATATAGCCCCTTTTCAGAGCTCAAGGACACTTTACAAGGAATGCAACAAAAAGATAAACAAACATACATGAGGTCAAATATAACAAACTGGAATTACACAAACAAGACCTAAGAGACATATGAGCAGAGTAGTGGTGGATCAGATTAAGTGGTCAGTTTGGCAGATCAGAAGCGAAGCATTCAGAAAATAAGTGAGTCTTAAGTAAGGATTTGAATTCAGAGATATTATTAGCAGAGCGGAGTGAGTGTGGTAGAGAGTTCCAGAATTTGGGTGCAATAACACTAAATGATCTGCCCCCCATTGAAGAGAGGGTTGTATAACGATGGTTTGTTCTATAGACAGTTGGAAAAAAACTAAATTTTTTTTACCTTAAAATAGTTCATAAAAAATTAATAACTGCTTTTATTCAAGCCTAAATAAAACAACTAAGACTTTCTCCGGAAAAAAAATATTATCAGACATATCGTGAAAATTTCCTTGCTCTGTAAAACATAATTTGGGAAATATTAAAAAAAGGAAAAAAAAAATTAAAAGGGGGCTAATAATTCTGACTTCAACTGCAAGCCACATCTGATTTCAAATGATCAACCAGAAGTCAAGTTATTATTTGTTGCTTCTAAGACTTGGGTGGGTGACAGGACTTTTGTCAGGTAGTGTATACGTTTTCCAATCAATAAAAGAAAATGAAAAATCACAATTTTAATACTGAAAATCTCAAACTACTAATTGTTCTGTTGTACAATTGTAAACCTAATACTAAATGTTTAAGATTCTACAATAAAAAATGACCAAAAAGCAAAGTTATGAGCAAAAAGTGGTTCAGAATCTGTTGGTGTCACACTATCAGTACAATAGGTACTGTTTTTAAATATATATTCATTCATATATAATGAATGGATATATATATTCATTCATTCATTGTCTTGTCGGCTTGGTCCCTTTATTAATCCAGGGTTGCCACAGCGGAATGAACCGGCAACTTATCCAGCAAGTTTTTACGCAGCGGATACCCTGCAGCCGCAACCCATCTCTGGTAAACATCCACACACACACTCATACACTACGGACAATTTAGCCTACCCAATTGACATGCAACATGCACATGCAAACTGCACACAGAAACGCCAACTGAGCCGAGGTTCGAACCAGCGACCCAGCTACCTTCTTGCTGTGAGGTGACAGCACTACCTACTGCGCCACTGCCTCACCTCTATATATATATATATATATATATTTTTTTTTTTTTTTTTTTTTTTTCAGTCTTGACTTAATAAATCAACTGATTGTGCAGAACAGTATTACATAAGGGTTACCTGACATGATGACAGTTACAGGGTGGTGATGGGACAAGAGCATCCGGATAAAGTATAGTGCTGGTTTTGACTTCGTTTTCCTGCAAAGCCTGTGCGGCAAGTCTGCAATGCGCTGTCGTAATTAATAGTACTTCAAATGTCACTGTCACACACCTAGATAAGCTTTCCCATGCATGCACACACACACATACACAAACACAGGTCAACACACACGCTCAAACGTAAAATACACACCCAGAAAAACCTGTCACGATTTTACAAAGTAAATCTGTATCTTTTATGCTTAACCGACACTTGACTGAGGTCAACTTGCACAAAAAGTCCTTTATGCTCTTTTGACACTGAGAAAACAAAGCAAAACAAAACTTTCCAAATGTATTTATTTTCCCTCGAGAGCAAAGGTGGTATAGAATAAAAATATTACAATGGATACATGAGCAGCGATTCCTATGAAAATATATTAAGAATCCTAAAGTAAAAAATAAATATGAGCCTTCAGAAGGCCAATAATGCATGAACACATAAAATACATTTTCTTAACTTGAGTTTTTACAACATAAAAAAGGAAAGTTCCATCTTCATTTACTTGCCATCAGGTCAGGTCGAACCCGTCAGTCCTTAGTTTAAAACACAAATGAAGATCATTTTAATGAAACAGGATTCTGTCTCTCCATTAGAAGTGCATGCAACAGTGCAACAATTATGACGAGATACAACCAATACATATATATGATGAAAATATTTAATGTGGTCATTGTTTCCATATAAACCCACATACAAATAGTGCAGAACTTAAAATAAGCATGGAATCCCAACTTAAAATACCAAATTAAATGTGTTCATCAAATAAAACGATCATGTTTCAACTAGTTCCGTCAACTGATTATTCATGTTTAACAACTTCCAAAAAAAAGTTTATATTTACATAATATATTTGCACACATGTATATTTGTTTAAATAAATAAAAACATATGTAAAACAAACAATGACATGTGTTTTTACATTAATATAAAATTTGTATTAGATATAAATCTCTTATATCTAATACATATTTTATATTAATATAAATATAAGTCATTTTTTGTTTAAGTAAATTATAAATTTTATTTAATAATTAAAGTATTCTGTTCATCAAAGCGGCATTTATTAAATGTAAAAAATAAACAAATTGTAAAATACTTATTTATTAAATATTTATTTATATTACTTATTGTATGTATTTTCAAATGAAAAGATTTTTCCAGTCATTATTGCTTTCATTACTATTACCAATCATAATAATAATATTAATAATAATGATAATAACAACAACAAAAATAAATAATATTAGAGTGATTTCTGAAGGATCACATGACTCATGAAGACTGGAGTAATGAAGCTGAAAATTCATCTTTACAATCACTGGAATAAATTATTAAATTACTAAATAAACTATTAAACTAAATTATTAAATAAACAAACTTTGAACAGTTATTTTTCACAATTTTACTATTTGTGCTGTTTTTTGATGAAATAAATGCAGCCTTGGTGAGCAAACCTTTGACCGGTAGTATATATAATACACACACACACACACACACACACACACACACACACACACACACACACACACACACACACACACACACACACACACACACACACACACACACACACACACACACACACACACACACACACACACACACACACACACACACATACACACACACACAGCCTGATAAAACGTAAAAAAACGTAACTATTTTATGTTTGGTTAGTTAGTTAATTCGTACAAATGTTAGGATTTTAAGAAGGAGGCGTGGCAACCAACCCCACCCCTAAACCCAACCGCCATTGGGTGATGAGCAAATTGTACTACACTCTATGACTGGAACTGTACGCATTTATACGAATTAGCCACCAAATCAGAAAGTAACGAATTGAAGTAAGATTGCGTTGATATACAAACACACACACACACACACATATGTGTGTGTTTCTGTGAGTGTGCAATTATATAGTAAACAATAAATATGATAAATGTAAACTTTTCATTTGGAAGCAATTAAACGTGACTAATCGTTTGACAGCACTAGTTTCAACAAGTCTTAAAAAACCTCCTTGATTCATATGTATTCACTACATAGCATTTGAGAACCTTCAAAGTTTTTGTTTCTACTGACTTTCAATGAAAGAATGGAAAACTATTAGGTTTTATCAAAAACATCTTCATATGTGTTTCAGGTTTCACTGCAATTTTCACTTTTAACGTGAACTGACCCTTTAAGCACTATGTGTGCTTCCAGAATCAGTTTACACATATGATAAAATCTAATAATGCTCTCTGTACCTCTCACATACAGTTTTTAAGTGCGCTTCAGCAATCATGAGGTCTTAAGGTTTTGAAAGTGCTGTTGAGGGAGTGGTGGATGATAGGAAGTGAAGTCAGAAACGCTGTTGTGTTCGGAAATGACTTTCAGCAGAAGCTCCTCTTCTTCGCGTGCAGACACTCACACTCTCACATTGCTGCTTCTACAGGAATGAGAACAGAGAGAGAAAGGACATAAATATGAGATATGAGCAGGTCACAAATCACTTCCCCTCAACACATGGCCAAACCCTGACAAAACATTATGAAATCTTGAATGCAGTATATTACATAATACACTTCCATATATGGAAAACTAACAATTTTTCCTCTATATACTGTAATATATACAGTTGAAGTCAGAATTATTAGCCCCCTTTGAATTTTTTTTCACAGTATGTCTGATAATAATTTTTCTTATGGAGAAAGTCTTATTTGTTTTATTTCAGCAAGAACAAAAGCAGTTTTTAATTTTTTAAACACCATTTTAAGGACAAAATTATTATCCTCTTTAAGCTATTTTTTTCGATAGTTTACAGAACAAACCATCATTATACAATAACTTGCCTAATTACCCTAACCTGCCTAGTAAACCTAATTAACCTAGTTAAGCCTTTAAATGATACTTTAGGCTGTATAGAATTGTCTTGAAAATTATCTAGTAAATTATTATTTAGGCGAGGCAGTGGCGCAGTCGGTAGTGCTGTCGCCTTACAGCAAAAAGGTCCGGCTGGAAGGGCATCTGCTGTGTAAAAACTTGCTGGATAAGTTGGCGGATCATTCCGCTGTGGCGATCCCGGATTAATAAAGGGACTAAGCCGACAAGAAAATGAATAAATGAATGAAATTATTATTTTCTGTCATCATGGCAAAGATAAAATAAAACAGTTATAAGAGATGAGTTATTAAAACTATTTTGTTTAGAAATGTGCTGAAAAAAATCTGCTCTTCGTTAAACAGAAATAAACAATCAAAAATAAACAGGGGGGGCTAATAATACAGGGGGGCTAATAATTCTGACTTCAATTGTACCTTGGTCAAAATGATACTTTATAAGTTTACAGAATGTTAATATCACGACAATATTATGGACTGAAAATCCTCCACTTCCACACAGCTTAAGGTCCGCTGTAGATTCTTCTCTCCGAATCACTGTCTATCTCCCCTGTTTCTGTGTTTGTCTTGCTGCTGTGAAAATCAGCACGTGTAGGTAATGAAACTGCTCTTTTCATGCAAACCCTTTCCTCTTTTGCCACTCGACACTACCACCTAAACAAAGCTGGACTGAACCACTTTCCTGACTTTTTTGAAACTATGGTGAAAATTTACAAACCTTACAAACAGAAATATTCATAAAAGAACACACTGCATATCATGTCAAACTGATATTTCTTCTATAACTGTACAAACATTGCAAATGAGTCAAATATGGGATTTTGGTATCTGCATTAGGGGATAGTTTACCCAATATTGAAAATAACCTATTATAGGTTATATAATACTCTCCGCCTTCACTTATGCCAAACCTTTTTGAGTTTCTTTATTCTGCTGAACAAAAAATAAAGGTATTTCAAAAAAAGCTGGAAATCTGTAACCATTGACTTTCATAGCGTTTGTTTTTCCTACTATAAAAGTCAATGGTTACAGGATTTCAGCTTTTAATAATGTCTTCTTTTGTGTTTAGCAGAAGAAACTCATAAAGGTTTAGAATCACTTGAGGATGAGTAATAATTGAGCTGATAATCCTTTTTGAACAGAAACTCTTTAAATACTCTTTTTGTTCATTAAAGTTGTTTATTTGTAAATACACTTCTGTTACACTAAATGATATTTTCAACAAGTCGTGCTAAAAACGCACTAGATATCACTCTGTAATGACATAGCACATTCTAACGGCTGGGGGAAAGGCTGTATTACACTGTTATTGATTTAATATTTGAAAACTCATTATTGCTTTTGACCCATATGCATGTTCCTACATGAATGTGAATGTATAGTACACTCACCGGCCACTTTATTAGGTACACCTGTCCAACTGCCCGTTAACGCAAAATTTCTAATCAGCCAATCACATGGCAGCAACTCAATGCACTTAGGTCTGTCGACATGGTCAGGACGATCTGCTGTAGTTCAAACTGAGCATCAGAATGGGGAAGAAAGCTGATTTAAGTGACTTTGAATGTGGCATGGTTGTTGGTGTCGAACAAGCTGATCTGAGTATTTCAGAAAAACGCTGATCTACTGGGATTTTCACGTACAACCATCTCTAGGGTTTACAGAGAATGGCCTAAAAAATAGAAAATATCCAGTGTGTGGGAGTTTTGTGGGCGCAAATTCCTTGTAGATGCCAGCGGTCAGAGGAGAATGGCCAGACTGTTTTGAGCTGATAGAAAGGCAATAGTAGGTCAAATAACCACTCGTTACAACCGAGGTATGCAGAACAGCATCTCTGAATGCACAACACATCGAACCTTGAGGCAGATGGGCTACAGCAGCAGAAGAACACACCGGGTGCCACTCATGTCAGCTAAGAAAAGGAAACTGAGGCTACAATTCACACAGGCTCACCAAAATTTGACAATAGAAGATTGAAAAAGCGTTGCCTGGTCTGATGAGTCTCCATTTCTGCTGCGACATTCGGATGGTAGGGTTAGAATTTGGCGTCAACAACATGAAAGCATGGATTCACCTTGCCTTGTATCAATGGTTCAGGCTGGTGGTGTAATGGTGGGCGGGATAATTTCATGGCACACTTTGGTCCCATTAGTATCAATTGAGCATTGTGTCAATGCCACAGCCTACCTGAATATTGTTGCTGACCATGTCCATCTCTTTATGGCCACAGTGTACCCATCTTTTGATGGCTATTGCCAGCAGGATAACATGCCATTACAAAAACGTTTCTTAAACATGAGTTTACTGTACTCAAATAGCTCTTCACAGTCCCCAGATCTCAGTCTAATAAAGCACTTTTGGGATGTGGTGGAACGGGAGATTTGCATCATGGATGTGCAGCGGACAAATTTGCAGCAACTGCGTGACGCTATCATGTCAATATGGACCAAAATCTCTGAGGAATATTTCCAATATCAGAGAAAGTGTCATATTATATCAAATGTACATTTAATGTGGCAAAGAGTAAGCAAAATTAATTACATACATTACAGTAAAGGAAATACTTTATTCATGAATTAAATACTCACGAATGCAGGACCCAAAGCAAAGATGCCCCTCACTGTTGGGTTTCCAGCAGCTGTATCTTGCACATCTGTTAAATCAAGCAGAAGTTATCAAGTCACATGAGCTGCTAGATGTGCCAGCAAACACAGCTGTTGATGTTTTGAAAACATCAGAACAGGAAATGCACACACACAGGGCCAAATTAAAAGCTGTTCTACTAAATGTACACAGTTTAAAGTGAAGCTGACATTGCAGGCGCTGATTGAGTCTCTCGAGGGACTGCAGGATCTTCTGCTCCTCCAGCGACAGAGCGCCGATGTTGAGGGAATGTGTTCTCTGGTTCTGAGGAACCGTCGAACCAATGCAGGACTTATGGGCTTGAGGACAATCCACAACTTCATGAGCACCGTCTGATACTTCTGGGCCTGTTACAAAAAAATAGCATAAGTGTATATTTTTATACAACAAAAAATTACTGTATTGTCACAATTAGTAGATTAATAGTACTTTAAATAAAAAAAATAAAAGGACCAAGAAGAAAATACATTACAGTTTAAACAAGCATATTAAGCACAGCAGAATTGTTTTAAGTTTAACTTTATAATAAATGTTTTTTAATGGTTTCTAGAGGATGGTGTGACACTAAAGACTGGGAGTAACCTAGCTGTAAAATTAGGAAAAGATATCCACTTTGTAATCACAGAAAATTATTATTTTAAAAAATATATTACAGCAAAAAGGTTATTTATAATAGATTTTATTACCATATAAATGAAAAGATAGAGTAGTCGACTTTTAAATACAAGCAAAATTATTAAAATGAATAAATGAATAAAATAAAAAATAAAAATAAGAATAAAATATTATTAATATTTAAAAATATGTTAATTAAATAAATAAACATTAAACAATCCATTTATATAATGTGTAATCAAATGGTACTAAAATTATTATACTTTATTTGCAATCTGACAACTATGGACTATGATCTCAACTATGATCTGTCAAGGTATATGAAAAACAATTTCTCAGATTGTTTAATAATAACAGAAGTAATAACAGAACATGGTAATACTATGATTATATCACAACTTTTATTGTTGTTTTTATTCTATTATATTAGAATTTGTTTTGTTGGTTTTGTTCAGTACTTTGGTCGATGCAAAACTCAAGATTATTGTGCTATGTAAATAAACTTTACTATTACTTTACATGAGAATTTGAAATAAGGGTTTCATTTTGGTTGTTCAATGTTTCTTAAAATTATTCTGCACCTCAAATTACAAATTACATGAGATAACATAATGATTCACATGCTTAAAATTCTTTCTTGCCCGATTATGCCCTATTGTAATTGTTATTACATTTGTAAATGTATCGGTATAACAGGGTATAATATATTGATATACATTAATTCAATTTGCATTATAATTACCTTCACTGTCTACTGCATGACCATTTTTATTTAGATGGTGAGTTGGCACAGTGACCTGTTAAAAAAATGAATGGTTAATGAACAAAAACGATGCCAAAAGCATCATCGATTACTCAAACAAAGCTAAAATGTCATCACACACAACACACTCATACAAACACACACGCACACACTTAATTAACTAGAGCAGTGCTTCTCAATCAACCCATACAAAGCTGGAGCAGGACATTTATGCATCTAAGAGAAACATTGTGATGATTTGTTCCTGAATTAATTTTCTTCATTTAAATGATTTGTTAAAATAGAAAGTGATAGAAAGTGTTTTGAGACAGAATTATTCCATGAATCACACATTAAGGCAGGATTATGCCACCAACTACTCACATTTTTAATGCAGGGTTTCTACAGATTTTATCAAGACATATTTAAGACTTTTTAAGACCATAATGAATAAAATTTGGGCATCAAAGTGGCGCAGAGGGTAGCACAATCACCTCACATAAAGAAGATTGCCGGTTCGAGCCCTGGCTGGGTCAGTTGGCATTTCTGTGTGGAGTTTGCATGTTCTCCCCGTGTTTGTGTGGGTTTCCTCCGGGTGCTCTGGTTTCCCCCACAAATCCAAAAACATGCGCTACAGGTGAATTGGGTAAGCTAAATTGTCCGTATTGTACGAGTGTGAATGAGAGTGTGTGTTTGTTTCCCAGTGATTGTTTGCAGTAGGAAGAGAACGACTGTGTAAAACAGGGGTCTCAAACTCACGGCCCGCGGGCCATTTGCGGCCCTCAATGCAATATTTTGTGGCCCGCGCCGACCGCTGTACACTGACAGAATCAGCGGAGCGGGGAGAGAGAGTGCTCCCCGCTCCGCTGATTCTATCCGTACACAGCGGTCACTGGCATTCCCCGCCCGCCGTGTTGTTGCGCGCGTTCTGATCAGCTGTGTTGTCACGCGCGTACTTAAGAGCGGTGTTATCGCGCGCCTACTGAAGGGCGGGAACGAGGGTGTGTCGCGTCGCGGGGGCACTTTTAATCATTTTGGAAGGGCACTTTCTATGCAAGACTAAAAAGGGCATGTGCTCTGCACAGGTTGAGCCCTATGTGTGCACGTGCCTGCCCTGCATCTTATATATATTATAGGTAGATACAGACTGGTACAGACTGATGTGACTGGAGTGGGGTGGGGGTGTTTTATTTATACATATATACGCCTTTTTTTTAGGTGAGGGAATGGAAGTTTTGAGTGAGTTCCCCCACTTTTTTCCCTAGGACTTCAATAAGTCAAAGTACAGGTCTAGACTTAATGATGATCATCTTCAAGCCATACTGAGGGTCTCAACTGCTTCCGCTCTAAAGCCAAATGTGGTTCAGATTTGTGAGAAGAAGCGCTGTCAAGTCTCTGGCAGCAAGAAGTAGGCAAAAGATGCCATGTTCAGAAGAACTGTTCATAATCTTCACTCAATGTTCTATTAATGTTCAGGACACTTCATGTTCAGAAGAAATAATTAAAACTGTTAATAATGACATTTGAGGACTTTTTTTTGTGAAATCCCTTATGCGGCCCAGCCTCACCCAGACTTTGCCTCCTGCGGCCCCCAGGTAAATTGAGTTTGAGACCCCTGGTGTAAAACATTCTGGATTAGTTGATGATTCATTCCACTGTGGCGACCTCATATAATAATAAAGGGACTAAGGTGAAAAGAAAATGAATGAATGAATGAAATTTCAGACTTACACAAGGCTAAACGCTAAAGACTTTTTAAATACCCAAAGTAAAACCTTTAAAACATTAAAAACAAAAATTATTATAAGGAAGATAATTAAACTATGTTAATAAGTAAATAGAGTTAATAAATAAATGTTTCTTAAACTTTTTGTTGAAATATATTGTTAGTGATTGGATGAGTGCTGGCCCAATTGGGTATAGCTTTACATGGACATAGGAAAATTAGCACCCATTTAAAATGAATTAAGGCTTACAACCCAATATTTGACTGGATTTACTGAATTTTTTGGTTTTTGAAATTAAGACATTTTAAGACCCCACAGATACCCTGTAGTGTCATATTTATCTGTCATTTAAAATAACACTCTGCAGCAGGAGAAATTATGTTATGCAACATGCTCCCTGTGCAATTGGCTCATCACACTGCCTTAGGTTACCAAGCTGGGGACTGATTTCAGGTGCTGTATAATATCATTGCACCTGCTGCAGCCATAGTATGGCTTAAGATTATTATGCTGGGATGAGAGTACATTTCCTATCACTTTTCATTTTACGTCAGTTTTAGTACACAATAAACCTACAAAACAGTCAAGCTTAAATAGAAAAATTATTATTGTTTTGATTGAGATGTTAATGGTCTAATCCAGTTCAATGATCTATGCTAAGGTAAGCTAAGCTAAAATTGCTTTCGATAAACCCGGATATCACCTGAATGCATTCAAAAGTTGTATAACTTGACCGTTTAACCCAAAACAAGCCTTCGAAAAGTGGAGTGTTCCTTTAACATGCCACAAAAACACTAATATAATTTAATTATCGTTCTACAAACAAAATCCCCAAACATATTGTGATAATATTCACTGTCAATATCCACAACGTGCATGTTCACCTGATAAGAAATGCTGGGTTTTCTCTGTGCTGCTCCTGTAGTTTGGATTCTGCTGTTTTCCACTGGAACTCGGTTCTTCACCATGTTACTCTCCATAGCCTGTCTCCTTATAGGACTTCTCACTAATTAATAGCAGAAACTCACCGATTAGCAGACCACTTTATCTCAAAGATAGGCTATTACACCAGAGTATCTAAAGCTTAACCTCTTGAGGTACGGACATAAGTAAGCTCTGTGGATTTAAAAGGATAGCTCACCCAAAAATGAAAATGTACTCACCCTCAAGAGGACCCAAAGTTTCTTTAATTAGTTGAACAAAAATGAAGTTATTTTGAAGCTGAAAAACCATTGACATCCATAGTAAAAAAAAACAACAACACTATGGAAGTCAATGGTTGCCAATTTCTAGCTTTCTTTAAAATATTTATTTCTTTTGTGCTCAACAGAAAAAAAAAGTCACTCAGGTTTGGGACAAGTGAAGCGTGAGTAAATGATGACAGACTTTTCTGTTTTGGGTCAACTGTTCCTTTAAGTGAATTTAAACAACTCTAGTGAAACAATTAGCAATTTGATCACATTATGAGCTGGCAGGTGGAAATGACCTAGCTTTTTGGACACTGAATGCCCTTTGACATCATTAATTAAATAAACCTATAGAGCCTTACCATTAGAGGAAGACAAGAAAAAGCCCCCCATTCTTGAGGATCCTTTGACACCATTGATCAGACTATCACCATTGATGGTAACATGGGACAGACTGGCACAGACTTGAGGCGAAGGAGACAACGGGCCATTGTGAGCCAGAAAACTTTGAGGGTCACCTAAATCAATTCAGAAGGAGAGAGAGAGGAACACAAAAAAGACAAAAAAAGAAAGAAGACAGTTCAACTTAAAGGTCCCGAAGTATGAAAGCCACTTCTCCTGTTCTTGAGGTCTATGTCGACAAAACAACGACTTTTCCTGATGTTATAAAAAAATAATTGACCCCTGAGGAGCAACAGTCCATCATTAAATGGATCAATTTCAACCAAGTAGTAATCCCAAGTGGTGCAGCGCTGAGCTGAGGGCCAAAGAAAACACACTCTATTGATCCAACACCAAAAAACACTATTCCAAAAACTCTAGAAAAATATCCCTCTAATAGCTCAAACAAAGCTGCTGAACTTGCCGACCCACAAAGGGAGCTCAGTTCTTTCAATCGACTCTGATTTGACTATATGACAAGGTGCAGGGAAAGTTCATGAGAAGCCGACCATTCATGACTGTTGGTTTTGTAATATGTGGCTGAAATGTTCCTTGTCTGTAGAAAGAAACCTACTGAAAATCTTTTTTGTCTCCACAGCAGGTAAGCAATTATTTCCGAAATGTGATGTTTGCAAAGAATAAAAAGCACAGTAATACTGAGGTAATAAATAGTTGCTAATGATATTAATATTTGCTGAAACTTGTTAAGGAGTGTTCCAACTAGGGGTGTAACGGATCTAGGCATGGGATGATAACTGTTTTCAAGATATACAGTGGTCAGGAAAAGTCAAGGTTTTAAAACCTTTGAAAACATTTTCTGTTTTACCGTTCCTACGGTATATGTAAAATACTTTTTTGGTTATGCTTTAGGACAACAATATCTCTCCAGCAGAAAGATATCCAAAGGAGCCATTTTAAATTGTAAAAAAAAACGTTTTTTGCAACTAACAAATACAACAGAAGTCAATGATTCATTTGAATTATTTAGCCTGACATCTTACTGTTCCACAATATTTAAAACTTTCTCAAATTAAAATGTATTGTGTTCAAAGGGGAAAAAAGTTTTTGTTTTTTACACAGACATATAAAAAGAATATATTTTAGAGCGGTAATCACAATACTGCGAAATAAATAAAATATATTGGCTGCATTCAAAATCTGCATTGTTGTACTGCATTTGAATTGTAATTTACAACTCAACAAATAGAAAAGTACGTTATGAATGTGAGTGGTATGAATGAAGCTCGGTTGTACTACATCCGCCGTTTTATCATGTTCACGGGAAACACCAGCTTCACTCCCATTCATGATTTCTCTCGTGGTGCATCATGAGATAGCGTAACGTCCATCAGATGCGCACTTCAAATCTCGTTGGAAGTAGTAGGTCATCTGGTACTTATCGCATCCTGTTTTTCGATTTCTTTGAATTCGGACATATAACTCAGCTTTCATACTGTTTTTAGCGCACTATATAGAATATAAGTATGCAATTTCGGACGCAGTCGTTGTGTTCAAAGTAGTAAAAAGTTCTTGTTTTTTACCCAGACATTTAAAAAGAATATATTTTAGAGCAGTAATCACAATATAGTGATATTTTTATCCAAGGTTATCATACGGTTAGAATCTTACAAGCCATGCCTAGAAAGTATCACAAGAAAATGAAAGATTGATTCACTTTTCTTTGCTAAACAATTATAGTAACTTTACTAAGGATTCAGTGTATTTTTAATTCATACAGTGAAGAAAAAAATTAAATAAGATTAGATTGCTTGATTCAATTTCTTTAAAGCTATTATTTTTATTATTTATTGCCACATAAGCAACATAGGCCATTTCATGGCAAGTTAAATATAGATAAAAACATATTAGCTATTATGTATTTTTGTTTAATTTATTTGAATCTTTTTCTATTTTATTTATTCTATTGTTTGTAATTTCCTTTTATGCTATTAACAGACTGTTTCAACTGTTTAAAAGGTTGCTCAACTTGGTGTTAGTAGAGAAATGCAGAGTTTGGGATTTATCTTTACCGTCTTTAGTGGCGAGAGCACTTCGAACTCCATGCCAAAGAAGTGCAATCTCTTCATCTGTTGTAGTCCGGTCCAAACAGATCCCATTCTCTCCACACCTGCGCCTGCCACTGTCTGCAAGGGCATCTGGAGGGGAGAGAGAACAGACGCCCGCCTCGTGGCCGTAGGTATAGCAAAGTGGCGCTGGAGCACAGATACCATCTGTTCTGAGGACAGGCGGAGAAACTACATTCTGGAGATCTGGAGCATCTTTGTACATTGTCTGTACACCTTCATCGGCCTTGGAAATGTACACGGGACACTCAGCTAGGTCAACCTCCGCCACTTCAGGTTTTGGAGGGGGGCGAGGTACCAAACTTTTCCCTTGGGTCTTGGCCACATGTTGTGCTTCTCTGGCAGATTGGGGCCTGATGATAGTGCCCTTCCTGGCCCGGGAGGTAACGGGACACGAGGAGACTCTGGCTGAGCGCACTCTCCGGGGAGTCCTTGGGCCCCCAATGCAGAGGGATCTTTTTTGAGAGGTGGGCTCCTTGATATGCTCCTGTTCACGGCTTTCTTGGGGCCCTACATCTGCCCAGGCATGTCTAGTGGATTGGGGCCCAGCAGGGACAGCAGAGGTCTTACTGGAGATGTTCTTTGATACCCCTGTGAGTAAATTCACATGGTCCGAGTGATCCGCAGAAAGCTGTTTATGGGTTTGTTGAGGCAGGTTAGCATGTCTGTTGGGGTCGCCAAACACTCGTTCCTCCCCCTCAACTCTATGTACTTCATCAAACCAACGCAGTTTCTTCTTAATATTTCGTTTTTTCTCAGGCTCATTGAGTTTTGCCCTTGCCAGCTCTACGCTGTCCCGGATTAAAATGGCCACTTCCTTGGTGAAAAGCAAATGGCTAGGGGTGTACGTGAATTTGACGTTTGCGGATTTGGATTTTAAATGGTTTTTAAGAATTCCTTTCAAGAATCTGACGTTGTTTGGCGCACAATGGGTCACGGGGTCTGCAGGTGTTCTGTTAGGTTCCTCTGTGCCTGTGGAAGACTTCAACATTCCGGCTTTTGCCAATTTGGTGACATCCGTTTCATTTTTAGGATCTATGCCTATAGCTTCCTCTATGCACAGTGGTTTGGATTCTGCTTTGAGCCTGGGGGCTTCATCTGCATATGGTTTGTGTTTTTGCAACTGTGAAGAACTCACTGCTTCTGTTTGTTGTAAGTTTGGGGAACTCAGGTCAGTCTGATATGTTATGCTAAGACGGGCATTTGAGCTTGAAAAGGCTTCAATTGGACTGTTGCTGTGTTTGCATCTGCCCGTTGGAAGACTGGTCTGCATTACTGATGAATGTTTAGCATACTTCTCCTCGAGGGCTCTTGTCTGCTGTTGGGATTCTGACTTTAAGTCTTTAGTCAGACTTGAGAATTCCAGGGGTGTGGTATCTGGCAAGGCTTGTGTTTTGCAGTGGGCAACCGCAGTTCCTTTGTCTTTCAAAATGTTCCCTTGAGCGTTCCTGTCATTATCGTGAGTCATATGTTCTGAATTAGCCACTAAGTCCTGCTGAGTCAATTCTTTTTGGCAACCATGGGCGTCGAAAGCCTGTGATTGGTCCTTCAAGTTGTCAAATCTGTGTTGCGTGAGATTTTGGAGATTCCGGCTTTTCTCTGCTGACTCATGATACCTTAGTGAATGTGAGTTAACAGCGAGATCACTTTCCTTGTTTAAAATCTCCTCCAGGAAACTCTTAGCTATGGAAGAGGTAGGGTGAGATGGTCTCAATGGTGATGGAAGACAGTTGGATTCTTGAAGCTTAGGGTTATCCAATGGATTGTAGAAAGACTGGGCACAGGTGGTGCTTTGCTGTGAGCTACAAACGGGTGGAGTGTCATGGCTCTTCTGAGGGTCTTCGTTCTCTAAGCTGTCCAGACTAGACAGACTCTCTGTCTCACTACGTGGGGTATCAAGATACTCCTGAAAATCAATACGAAAAAAAAAACAAAACATTAGAGCACTTATGCACTGATATTGACAGACTGAGTGCTTTTTAGAGATCATGTTGCATTCAAGCTGCAGAGGGATGGAAAATAACACATAGTCAGTTAATCTTTAACTGTAAGGGAAATAATGTCCGTTCCAGCAACAACTTTTTACAATGAATAGAAAGACAGATCAATGGGGTCGATAAGACTTTTAATGTATATGATAGATATGTTTTATGCTTACCAAGGGTGCATCTGTTTAACTAGATATACGCTAAAACAATAAAATTGTATAAAGTAAAATATGTTCTTATTTTGATATTTAAAAATTGAAATCCATTCTCATCATTTCATTTGACATGTTGTTTTCCCATATATATATATATATATATATATATATATATATATATATATATATATATATATATATATATATACATACACACACACACACACACACACACACACACACACACGCACACACGCACCCACACACACACGCACGCACACAGTTGACATCAAATTTATTACCCCCTCTTTGAATTATATTTTAATATTTTCCAAACAATGTTTAACAGAGCAAAGAAATTTTTACAGTATGTCTGATAATATTTTTTCTTCTAGAGAAAGTCTTATTTGTTTTATTTCAGCTAGAATAAAAGCAGTGTTTAATAATAAAAAAAAAATTTATGGTCAAAATTATTATCCCCTTTAAGCTACATTTTTTTCTATAGTTTACAGAACAGACCATCGTTATACAATAACTTGCCTAATTAACCTAACCTGCCTAGTTAACCTAATTAACCTAGTTATTGAATAAATAAGCCTTTAAATGTCACTTTAAGCTATATAGAAGTGTCTTGAAAAATAACTAGTCAAATATTAATTACTGTCATCTTGGCAAAGATAAAATAATTCAGTTTTTAGAGATGAGTTATTAAAAGTATTATGTTTAGAAATGTGTTGAAAAAATCTTCTTTTCGTTAAATAGAAATTGGTAAAAAAAACAAAAAACGGGGGTAATAATTCAGGGGGGTTAATAATTCTGACTTCAACTGTATATATGAACTAAAGCTAATATATTTGATCATTCATGAACATATTTGTAAATTCAATGGTTGAAAAAAATATATATTTAAAGTATCTCTTTTTTTTCTCAATATTTTGAAATATACACTACCGGTGAAAAGTATGGGGTCATTTTTTTCAATTATTATTATGTTAATCGAGGGAGCATTTATTAAATGTAAAAAATGTTGAATTGTTAAATATTTATTAAAAGTTTAAATAACTGCTTTCTTATTGTACATAATTTCAAATATAGTTTCAAATGAAACTCCAGTCATTATTGTTTTTATTACTATTACCATTAATAATAACAATATTAATAATGATAAAAATAACTCATAATAATGGGCATCACGATGGCGCAGAAGGTAGCACCCTATCCTATAAATAGGGCTGGATAAGTTGGTGATTCACTCTGCTGTGGCTACCCCAGATAAATAAAGGGACTAAGCCGAAAATAAATGAATGAATGAATAAATAATCATAATAATTAATATTAGAGTGATACTGACCCCAAACTTTTTACCGGTAGTGTATTTTGAATGTGAAATCCAAACATGAATTTGTATATTATATGTAATTTGCATCTATTGCCATTTATCAGATTTCTATACAGATTGGGGCTGATTAAGCTATTATTTTTATAACTGTGTTTAAAGCTTATTATTTTTGTGGAAACTATTTTTTTCAGAATTAACAGATGAAAAGACAGTTAATCGACAAAAAAAATTCAGAATTTATTTGAAATATAAATTATTTGTAAATTTATCAATTAAATTGCTTGAAAAAATTGTTTAAAACCTCAAATATACAAAATATGACAAAATAAAATAAAATAGAAAACTGGAATAAAAGCTAATATATTATATTTTTCTACATTTTACATACAGCAAGGACAAATCTACATTTATGCAGGAGGAACGAAGTCTTAAGGATTTATAATTTTGCATCTGCACCAGAAAGCCTCAGCAATATATAATACAAAATATAATAGCTAACCGAATTTCCAGAAGGAAAACCAATGACAGCCAGTGCACAATGGTCACGGGCATCGAAGGGTATTTCATAAGTCTGACGACATTTGTGCACAGGATAGAACACATTTCCAAGAAGACCTGAGCCAAAGATCTATCCTATAAATAGGGTTATTACTCTGTGCATCCTGCTCTGTTCACAGTTCACTGTATTAAATTATGTGTTGGCTACAAGCCAGAGCAGGTAACATTCCAGCTGGAAGAGGACATAAACTAAGTGTGTGAGGAGAAAGAATGTTTGTTTGAGGTAAAGATCGCGGAATGTGTATCTGTGTTTTTAATATGCGTTTGTGTGATCTCATCTCTTTAAACACCTCAGTTTGTTCAGAAGATGCAGCAGCGTGTTGTGGCAGGAGGAGCCTTGGGCTAAAATTACAATGTCTTTTTCACCCTCTCCCCCCAACAGTTGGATTTGAATCTTAAAACCTACACAAACTCCTTAAGCAAATTTGTAAAAAAGGCTTCTTTCATCATACACAATCACGGCCCAGTGAATCACTTGCACCAGGAAGCTGATCACAATTAGACTATAAATCACCTAATAAAATTAGAAATATTCCTTATATTGTATTCATGATTACAGAATGTAATCATCCCTTTAATCATGTTTTATTCATCTTGAGCACTGAACACCTGGTTGGCTGTATCATTCCGGAACTGTTAATTTCTGCAATATGGATATTACTTCAGGGTTCTTTCATGAACACAAGAACTTTATTGTTAAAGTACTATTAATTTAAATCAAGCACTTTTGTAATTCGTATCACAGCAAACGCAGCATCATGAAAGTTCTTACAGTATTTACCATTTCACTTACCCGTAGGGCTCTATTTTACTGATCTAGGTGCAAAGTCTAAAGTGCATGGCGCAAAAGCATTAAGGGTGTGTCCGAATCCACTTTTGCTATTTTAAGGACGTAAAAATACAATCTGTGCCCCGGCGCATGGTCTAACAGGGTTGTGCTTATTCACTTATTGAGTTATATGTGTGTTTTGAGCATACCGTGCATTAAACCAATCAGAGTCTCATCTCCCATTCCCTTTAAGAGTCAGTTGCATCACACCATGGCGCATTTGTTATTTACATGGTGACTTTGATAGAGGAAAAACTGAAAGCTTCACTAGCGAGAAAACAATTAAACAGACCATCCGCCAAAGATAAAGAATGAACTTTCCCCATTCGGCCTCTTTACTTTCTCATCTTTACTTTAACGAATAAAAGAACAATGTTGTACGCACTCCACAGATATCCATCAGCCTATTTATTTAATTTAGTTTGTTAAGCGCAAGGATTTGCTTCAAAACTATTTCTAAATTCAGTTCTAATTTCCATGCCCCCCATATGGTGATGCATACATCTCTAAAACCCGACAGGAGGACAAATCTAAACTTGTTTTTATTAAAAGAAATATAAATATGCATATAAATACTACTACTACTAATAATAACATTATACAAAAGCAAACTGTCATGAATAAAAAAGTAAAAGAAAGTAATAATTTTGTAATATTTTAATCCTTTAATTCTTTTTTATTTGTAAACTTATTTGCGTATTGCTGTATATCCTGTATGTATTAAGCAATACACACAATATTAAGCAAAGTGACGCAAATGGATTTATTATTTAAACAACGTATTGCAAAGTGGGAAAATTAGTGTTACGCTGGTCTGAAAATAGCAACACATCGTGGCAAACACGTCTTGCGCCTTATTGCGCCGGGTGTATGATAGGGCCCTTAATATTTACATTAAAAATGTCAGAGTTCATTTTCAATGAATTTTAATAAGTTAGTTGAATTCAATACTGATAATATTCAGATGAGGTTTCTAAAATCTATAAAAAAATGTGCATAATTGTTGCATTACTATTAATTAAAGATTTTTTAATGAAGAATTTCTTCCTTTTTTTGTTCTGTTTTTGACATCAGAACAAGACAATTGTTGAAATAACACCATAATCTTTTTTATTACAATTCTAATTCAAGCACTTTCATGTTTGTTTTTAAGAACTTTCCAGGCCTTATTTATTATTTTTAATTGTAAAGTATAAAACTGCTTTGAAATGATAAATGATATACAAACTAACTTGAATTAAACTGAATCGAATTACAATCATGCACTGTTAAAAATTTCATTTCAAAATGACATATTTCTAAATAATTAACAAAATTCATACATTAATTTTCCTTCAGTTTGGTCTTTGATTTATCAGAGGTTGCCACAGCAGAATGAACCGACAACTCCTGGCGTATGTTTTATGCAGCAGATGCCTTTCCAGCAACAATCCAGTACTGGGAAACACCAATACACACTCACATTAACACTTTGATTACACAAAGACCAATTTTAGTTAATCCAATTTACCCACAGCATATATCTTTGGACTGTGGGGGAAACCGTAGCACCTGGAGGAAACCCATGCCAACATGGGGATAAACTCCAAACAGAAATGCCAACTGGCCCACCCGGGACTTAAACCAGTGACTTTCTTGCTGTGAGGTGACAGTGCTAACCACTGAACCACCATGCCGCCCTTAATTGACATTATCTGTCAGCGTATATAAAGGGACAGTTCATTATCATTGTGCGGTAACCACTGACTTCCACAGTTTTCGTTTTTCCTACTATAGATGCCAATGGTTAGCAGCTTCTAACATTCTTCAAAATATCTTCTTTTGTATTCAACCGGAAAAAGAAAGTCAAACAGGTTGGGAACAAGTGTGTGATGATGAGTAAATGGTGACAGTTATTTCATTTTTTGGTGAGCTATCCCTTACTACCTTTAAATTGATGTGTATGTTTTGAAGCGTATGTATTAACCTGTGGATCTTGCTCTTTTTCTCTCAAAAGAGTCTGGCTCTCTTTCTGATCATTGAGGAAGAACGTCTGGTGGTTCTGGAAGTTACTCAGGCTCTTCTCCTGCAGGAGTTTGGTGTAGGCCTCTGCTGCTGATAAGGCACGCAGGTGACGAGCGCCCCCTGAAGGCTTTGGCGAGGGTGTGCAGCTCCTGAAATAAAGCGTAGGCATTGTGATGATGAACTTTATTAGTTTTGTACCTCTGATACAAAAAATGCAGCATGAAGGGATAGGTCACCTAAAAATAAAGATTTCTTCAGCATTTACGCACACATAAGTGGTTATAAACTTTTATGATTTTCTTTCTTCTGTTTGTTACGTAGCAGAAGCACCTCGCTACGCACATAAGGATAAGGAAGACCGTCTATTAAAAGAGGTCACCCAGAGTCCTCTTTACTGTTCCCCAAGCACATACAGACAGGCCAAGTTGTCGAAAAGGGGTAACAGATTTATTAACATAAATATTTCCAATATCAAAACAAGGGAACAAAAGGCCAAAACAACAAACAAAAGAGTATGCTACCTAATATTAGATCTCTTACCTAAACCAAAAATAAAGTTCTGTAAATAAAACAACAACTCTACCCTCCTTGACTATCCTTTAAACAGGAGAAAACGTGACAATATCATTCAGCAGTAGATAAACATCTACAGTACATAAATATTTAGCCACAGCTAATACAGAATACCGTCCTATTACCGTTTTTTACAGAGTATCTCACCAGATGACTTTGGAAAAGGGTTGCGGACAGGAAAGAAACGCTCAGGCACAGTTAATGCAAGTTACACAAAATAAGAATTGAATAAGCTAAATTGGCTGTAGTGTATATGTGTGAATGCACATATAAATTTGGGTGAACTAGTTTTTGACCATTAAGTTATTTTGTTTAATAAGCTTCAGATTTGGCTTCAGTACTGACTAATCTAATGCAGGCCCATAGCCAGGGGGGTTCGGGTGGTTTGAACCCCACCCAACTGACAAATTCCAGAATTTGACCCCTATATGAGCTAATTATATAAGCCATTTTTGACTGCTGTACCATCATAAACTTTGAAAATTATAGATAGAAGGCTTTAAGACAAACTTAATTTTTAATTATTCAAGTGGCTAAATTCATTTCCCAGTAATGGGTTTCAGCTGGAAGGGTATGTGCTGCATAAAAATTCTGCTGTGGCGACCCCAGATTAATTATTTTGGACAAAGACGAAAAGAAAATGAAAGAATGAATGAAAGTTGAATGAGCTGGCAAGTTTTTATTTGCCCATAGTTTGCAGTTTTTAATTTAAAATAAATTTTAGCAGATTCCTATTTGTAAATGATAAATAATAATACATTTATTTATTTTATTGTATTGTATTTAAAATAAGTATTTTACTTTTTTTTTTCATTTATTTATTTAAAATGCTTAATCTCATAAAACTGTTTATAAAACTGAATTAACTGACAGTTTGAATCTAAATTTGCATGTAAAACCTTCATAGTAAAATAGTCTGGTGAGCACTCCTACAATTTTTTTTTTGCTGCATTAAAACAAGTGTGGTTATGATCACCATCCGACAAGCTGATCCAGCAAATATTAGTTCTTAAAATGTCACTAAAATGCATAATTGAATAAATTAGGCGAATAACTGCAAAAAAAGGTCAATTTTTTCAGAAAAAAGAACCACCTCTTTTAACAGGCTGGCTACGGGCATGTAATGTATATGCATAATAATATTGTATAGCTTCCTATTTAAAATATGAATTTAAAATATAGATTTGTGAGGGGTGTTGTTATATATATGCTGAGCACTGTATATACATTTTTTAGATAAGCAAATTTTTATGTTTTAACTTAAGAAGAATAAAGAAAGCAATATTTGGTGAAACTACTTAAAAGTTTTGTTATTCTGGCCAAATATCCCTTTCTGAAAAATAAATTCTCTATGTGTGAATGTTTTTTTTTATTGTGAAGAAATATGATCTTTATAGAATAAAATAAGTGTTACCATTTTAAAATATAATCCATTTTTACAGTAGTTATTTAAATCTATCAAGTTAAATTAGAACCTTTAATGTACACTGAAAATTCTGTAGCAGCAATAAAATAGGCTAAATGCTTTTAATGTTTCATATCAGTGAACATTTACTTTATTTGATGTAATAAAAGGGCTTTAGTTTTATGTTTTAGTAATAGCTGACTATAATAGTTCTGCCCGTTATGATATATTGTGATGGCAGTAATGTCGTACCTGCTAGCAGGGGAGGCACCAGACCAAAATTGAGATGGATGAGTATATAAGAGTGGACTGCCTTGAATATGATGAAGTGCTTCGTCAAGGTTGGGTGTTCTTCTCTTAAAGGCTGCTGCAGAACACAAATCACCCTATTTACTGTTTATGGCAGACGGACTGTTTACAACACACACACTGACCTTATAGTACTACTAACACAGTGCATGTAAACACATGGATTAGTGTTCACCTGACTTTTCACTGAACATACCGGGTCTTTTCCTTTGGGAAGGCGGGAGATGAGCTCTTTGGAAGTTCTCTGTGGCCTCCTGGACCTGCTGATGGCGCTGTTGTAGAATATTCTCCCTTAGTCTCTGCTCCTGAACATCCCACTGTTTTCTTTTCTCATCTAGAGCCCTGAAAATAGAAAAACAGCCAGACAGTTTACTTTCATGCCAATATATCAGCTTATTAAAGGGATAGTTTACACAAAAATCAAAGGAATACTCTCTATTTACTCACCATTGATTGAGCTTCTTTATTCTGTTGAACACACAAAATATGATATTTTGAAGAAATCTGAAAACCTGTAAACATTGACTTCTAAAGTAGAAAAAAAATACTATGAATGTCAATGATTACAGGTTTCTGGCATTCTTCAAAATATATTCTGTTGTGTTCAATAAAAGAAAGATAGTCAAACTTGTTTGGAATAAGTGAAGTGTGATTAAATGATGAATTTGCAATTTTGGGTGAACTATCATTAGTACATAACACGTTAATATCGAAATAACAAGCTAATATAAAATAACCCATGGAAAAATAACCTGGCAGTGCAAGTAAAATGTATTTGGTTTTTCAATAAATCAATTCATCTCCATGTTTGCTCAAAGGAATCTGGGTTGTTGTAACCCACACTGTAAAAGAGTGATTAACTTTCACTAAACTTAAAATTGTAAGACAACTAGCTTCAGAGCTTTCCAAGTTGACTCAACTTAAATCGAGTCAAGTGCAGTACTTGGGTGTCACACAACCAGCAATCGCTTTCCAGAGATCGCTGGTTCTCACACGAACTCTCAGGACTACATTTCCGCATTCCCTAGGACTACACATTCATACACGCACTGCTCCCAGACACGCACGCCTGCTCATTCATCTATCCTGATTGCAATCACTAGCTGAACCTTGTCACAGACTGATATCACACCATACTTAAGCCACACATTCACGCTTGCAGTTTGCCGAGTCTTGTTTGCTTTACTGTGACATTACAACGTGGTTCCCTGTCTTGTTTTCTCCGTGTTAGACCTTAGCCCAGTATTCCCTGTTCTCCTGTTTAGCCGCCTGCCTTGTGACCTGTTGCCTGATTTACGACTATGAATTTGGATTTGCCTTAATATACCCGATAGTACCTGATTTGACCATTGCATGAATAAACCTGCATTTGGATCCTACCTTCTGTTGTGAGTGTCACTCCCCCCAGCCGTTACATTGGGATCAAATCAAATCAAATCAAATCATGCTGTTGTATTTTGCACTGTTGTTGTATTTGCACTGTCTGTATGTTGCACTTTCTGTATTTTGCACTGTCATTTTATTAGCACTGTCTATATTTTGCACTGTCGTTGTATTTTCTGTATTTTTGTACTGTCTGGAGCCAGCACCTAAGCTTTTCACTCATCATAGCACACATGTTGCTGATGATGTGACAATAAAAGTGATTTGATTTGGACTGTTAAGTTGACTTACCTTATTTCTTATAATTAAGAACATGCAGTAGTTCATTTACTTAAAAATTTTAGTACAATGGGTTAACTCACTTTTTATTTTTAAAGTAAAGTCAACTAACCACTATATAGTTCAACATTGATTCAACTATGAACAAACCAACCGTAATTGAAAAAATTAACCCAATGTTGGGTTTGTTTATATTCTACCCAATATCTAACAACAACCAATTATTTTTAAAGCATGTGATGAGTATTGCTCTCAATATGCTCTGTGTTTTAATAGCCATGTTAAGTCTATTGTTCGAACATGCTTTTTACATTTACATTTACATTTACATTTAGTCATTTAGCAGACGCTTTTATCCAAAGCGACTTACAAATTCTTTACATCTGAGGAACATTGCAAAAATCAGAAATGTTGTTTTAAAGAAAGAGATGAAGCTGCTTGTCCATGCCTTTGTCTCTTCACGGGTGGATTATTGTAGTGTTCTGTGTACTTGTCTGAACAAATCTTTCATGGATCAATTGCAAGTAGTGCAGAATGCAGCAGCGAGGCTTTTAACCAACACCAATAGGAGGTCACACATTACTCCTGTACTTAAGGCACTTCACTGGCTTCCTATTAGCTTTAGAGTAAATTTTAAGATTCTGGTCATTACATATAGAGCTCTGCAAGGTCAAGCACCTCTATATATTCATGCTATTTTTAATGTAGCCACTCATGTAGCCAGTCTCTGAGGTCTTCTGTCAAAGACCTTTTAGTCATTCCCAGAAAACATCTTAAGACTAAAGGTGACTGTGCCTTCTGTGTTATAGCCCCAAGGCTCTGGAACTCTCTCCCTTTAGTGAACTCTGGGATCAGTTGAACTTTTAAAAAAGCATTTAAAGACACATCTTTTGGTCAAGCTTCTAATTAACATTATTAGTGTTTCTGTATTTGGATTTGTTGAAAAGTTGAAAAGTTTGTGTTCTTTTACCTGTTTTCTGCTTTTCTCTTATTGTAAAGCACTTTGTGACTTAATGTCTGGGAAAGGTGCTATATAAATAAACCTTTACTTACTTTTATCACAAGGAATTTTATAGCTAATATTTAATCCTCTTAGAATGCAGTATTTTAATTGCAGCACATATATTTCTGCTAAAGCACTTTTTTTAACTTTGGGTCAAGAAAGCATCTGAATTTGTGGTAACACTTTACAATAACAGTACATGAATAATGATGTATTAATATGTAAACTAAACATTACTTTATTATGAATTAATGATGAGTTAAGGTATGCACTAATCATGAATTAACTTTAAGTACAACATGAGTCACATGAGTTCATGTGTGAATACCTTAATTACTTGTTAGTACATGTTGTTAATTAATGTATTAATTAACATTTAAGTTTAGGCTAAATGTAACCAACATGAACTCATGAGCTGTTAATGTATAGTTATGTCATGACTTTACTTGGAGGAGCACATCACTATTAACTCATCCTTAACTACTTATGAACTCCTCTTCATGTTGATGTTGACAGAACACTTTTCTATTGTTATTCAGTGTAAACTCACTAGTTGGACGTGTATAAGGAGTTCATGAGTAGTTAAGAATTGGTTAATGATGATGTGCCCCTCCAAGTAAAGTCACAACATAATTATACATTAACATATCATGAGTTCATCATGGTTAAATTAAGCATAAACTAATGTGGTAATTAATACATTAATTAATAAACAATCATGAACTAACAAGTAATTAAGGTAGCCATTATTCACACATGAACTCATGTGAATCATGTTGTAGTTAAAGTTAATTCATAATTAGTGCATACATTAACTCATCATTAATTCATAATAAAGTAATGTTTAGTTTACATATAAATACATCATTATTCATGTACTGTTATTGTAAAGTGTTACCGAATTTGTTATATGTCTTTCTTCCTTCCTTACTGCAAAACTGAATGCATTTAAATTGGCAGTAAAGATGCATTCTTGTATCATATCACACACAAACACAATTCAATAGACCTACAAAAAGCATGTTTTATGCATTTAAATAATGTTACAAAACTGTAGAAGGGGACAAAATCTTGCTGTGATGATCAAATTATGCTCGGATAAAGGAAAATAGGTACTGTCATGCACTGTCAGTTTATGAAGCATAATTGGGTAAGATCAATGCTCTCAGTATGAACTTACAAGCTCCCTTTGTGCCAGTTTGATCCTTTTAACGATATTATTAATTTGTTTAAAGGCGGAAGGATGAAAACTTTGGCAACTGTTTGCAGCATATCAAATGCACTACTTGACTTCTAATGGAAATGAAACTTTAATCTAATTGGCAATATCAGACTATTGCGCAAGCTGCTGTTATCTCAGACGTTTACTTTCCAGGGTAAACAGAAACTTGAGCTTTCTCTAGCAGATGCATTTCAGCTTAATTAATTTGTTAATGGCACAGAATGTAGCGCATGACTATGATGCGAACCCATTGAGCTGTCTGTCAGAGCACCTACAATCATGGAGAATAAAAATAGCAACCTGAATTAAATTTGAAGTGTTATTTTTTTAAATTTAGTTCTTTAAAAATAGTATTCTTTTTAGATTTAAGATTTTTATTATGTCAAGGGCGTAGGTTTGCACTTGACATTGGTGGGGCCATGTGAATTAAATCTCCCCAGGCCAAGGGGGATTTGAAAGGCCAAAGGTTGGATTATTCTTCTTATTATGTTATAATTTTTCTTTTTATTCAAATGGCCAGTTTCTGACTGAGAAAAGTTAAATGTGCTGGCCAGATTGTTATTTGCCTGTAGGCTTCAGTTTTCAATTTAAAACAAGTTTTAACAGGTTTCTAAAAAATGTAATGATATATGATAATACATTTATATTTTAAAAATAAGATTTAAAAAAATCTTTTCATATAAAAAATTTATAAAAATGTTATTTATTAATTTATAAAAACTGTACTATAAAACGTACAGTTTAAATGCACATTTTTAATAAAACACTAAAAACACTAAACACTAAAAATAGTAATATAGCATGGTAAGCAATTTGACAAAATTGTAATTATGTAAGTACCATTTGTAATTTGATGTACCAAAATATTTTTGGTACATCAAAAAGTGTGATTTTGATAACCATTCAACAAGATAATCCAGCAAAAAATAGTTCTTAAAATGTCACTAAAAAGCAATATTTACACATAATTATCCATAAATATTAGTATCATAGTTAAATAGAAAATGGGGCAAATAACTGCAAAAAGGTTCAGTTTTTCCGAAAAAAAAAAAAAAATAACGACCCCTTTCAATGAGCTGGCTACAGGCCAGATGTCATGTTGAAAGAATGTTAGCAGCTACAGCCTCTCACATGACAGAAGGCAAAGGCTCAGCCAATCACAATGTTTATATGTGTTTTGGGGTGGTGTGACTCAAGGAGAAATGAGATTTAACTGTTCCCCTTCGGGGGGAACTTCAGCACTATAAGTGGATTTGATTTGTAAAATCCACGCATTGGGAGGTTCGGTTCAGAAGCTACTCGTCTGAAAGAGTATTGAACGGGCCAATTAAGAATGAATTGGCAGCGCAAGCCTGCGCAGGTGAGCGGCATAAGCAATCAACTGAGTATATAAGCTCACCTGGCGCCAGCAGACGCTATCCTTTTCGCTTCAGAGACTTTCTGATCGAGTCGATG